ACGACGTTCGCGCCGTGATCGCGAGTCATAACGACGATCATGCCGTGACCGCGGAGTCATAACGACGATCGCGCTCTGACCGCAAGTCATACCGACGATCGCGCCGTGACCGCGAATCATACCGACGATCGCGTCGTGACCGCGAGTCATACCGACGATTGCGCCGTGACCGCGAGTCATGACGACGATCGCGCCGTGACCGTGGAGTCATACCGACGATAACCCCGTGACCGCGAGTCATGACGACGTTCGCGCCGTGACCGCGAGTCATGACGACGATCGCGCCGTGACCGCGAGTCATGACGACGATCGCGCCGTGACCGCGAGTCATGCTGACGATCGCGCCGTGACCGCAAGTCATACCGACGATCGCGTCGTGACCGCGAGTCATGATGACGATAACCCCGTGACCGCGAGTCATGACGACGATCGCGCCGTGACCGTGGAGTCATACCGACGATAACCCCGTGACCGCGAAGTCATACCGACGATCGCGCCGTGACCGCGATTCATGACGACGATCGCGTTATGACCGTTGACCGTGAGTCATACAGACGATCACCCCGTGACCCGCGAGTCACAAGTTTCTATAGGTACCTGTAAATTTATTGTTACCCATTTTTTGGTTTTTATAGATCAGTGCCACAAATGGTAAAAATTGATTTCGTATGTCTTTTTTGGTAACTGCAATACAGTACTTTCTTTTTATGCACAGAAAAAAATCCCGTCCCGTCCCGTCCCGAAAATCGGGAAGGAAATAAAAATCCCGTCCCGTCCCGTCCCGAACTAAAAATTCAATCCCGTCCATCCCTACTACAGAGTATTTAAAAAATTAGATTAGAGAATCCCTATATGCTGGACCTACAGATGGATGGAGATATTTTTCACTGATGTGTGTTCTTGTCTGTCCAGGCGCAGGGGAGGAGTGTGATAAGGTAGGGAGGGGAGAGCCAGGACTGACCATTCAACAGCTGGACCCTCTACCCATGAACGGGTTTGCTCACGGACACACCGTCACTCACAACGGCAAGATGAACGGGTACACGCCACACACCATCAACATCACCAACAATCCTCTGGCTGAGCCGCATCAGGATAAGGTATGTGTCTTCTACATCATTAGATGATTTTTACATTCCCAAAAAAACTAGTTAGGTTGAATTTAGGAATGGTTTATTTGAAACACCCCTCTTTGTTATAAAACTGTTTCAATGTAAGTGAAAGAAAGACTGCACTCTGGCACAAAAACAAACATTAGACAAAACACAAAGATATGACTATATCATGGTCACCTGCATTTGCAATCAAGAAAGGTTTGAGTTGGTAAGATTTAGATAAAAGAAATCTCTCAGCCCAATTCAAACCATCATTGATTGGGGAATGCTGTTACCGTGAAATTTTTGTTAATGTCTATGTATGGTGTGAAAATTTCTGTATTTCTTGTGCAAGCGTGAACTCTTTCTCATTTAGGTAAGCCAGTTTATCGTAAACAAAATCCTTAATACCTAGGCCCTTATGGTAAATGTTAAAATAACCCAATGTTAAAACAAGGGTTTTGTTGAATCAACTAACTTGTAGCCAGCTACAAGTAAACCTCAGTAAACCCTGGGTAAAATGAGACATGACTTTGGCTTAGATGAACTGTTGTTTTTCAGAATGTGATGGAGATGTCCTATATGAAGGGACAGAACAACAACTGCTCGGCGGAGAGCAGTGGCGGGGGAGAGGGGGATGAGCAAGCGTGGAGAGAGAGAAGTTCTGGAGAAAACTACGTCTAACTGTGATTTAAAGGCAACGAAAAGACGAGCCATATAATTTGTTAGGTTTTTAAACAGCAAAGCTGTTAGTATTTTAGTTTATTAACAACGGAATTTTATACGATAGTTGTACATATTTGTTAAATTGTTTAGTAACACTGTGATATAGTTTATTGTAGAATTAGCTTGTAAGGTCATTAAGTGTAACTAGACTTCAAGAAAGTATAGTTTTGTTTTAATTTATAAAGTTATTTTTATTGGAATGTGACAACTGTATTTATAATATTTATGGCCTCTGTATATTTTTCTATATTTATAAGGAAGTGTTAAACCAATAGATATTGGATTTATCAAACTTGCAATTTAAATCAAAATGATTAAGTGCCCCTATTGTTAGTCGTAAAACGTTTCAATTCTTTAGCTTCTAAATCAAGTTGTACCAAAAGTGTTCAAGATTACTAAAATATGTTGCTTGGATGTTGTTTTGGAACTATAAGTATTATTTAGATAATTTTTTTTCCAAACAGTATTGATGTTAAGATGTTGAGCATATTCCAAAGTTCAAACAGTATTAAGGCTAATTCATTATTTTCTTTGATTTTTAATGTGAATGAATAGAAAAAAATATGATTATCAATTTCCTACTCCTATATAATCTAAAAAATTAGATTCAATAACAAATTCATATTAATAAATAAATAGAAGAGGTTGAATTTTAAAAAGAAAAAAACTAATACCATGGTTCTTTTGCCCGTATTGTAGGCGTATGCCATATATAAACATTTGACATTAACTTTCAATGGTGCTATAGTATTCATTATCGATTGAGGTACTTATTTGGCTTTATAATAGAATAAAAACAGAAGGGGAATCATATTTACATAAACATGTGAATTCCTGTTAGCAATTCTACTTAATAACTCTTAAATGTGTAACAGATAAAAAACAAATGAAAAAATTGTGTTTGAAATAAGTTAGTGAACAATTATTAGATAAGGATGTAAATGTATTCAACGTTTATTTATCAAAATTTTTTTGTGGATTAAAACTTAAGAATGTAATTATCAAAAACTGACAAAGGTTCTTTCAAGGATAATAATATAACAAGTCTGTATTAGTTTGATAAACTAAGTCAAGTATTACAACAAAATTTTATAGGGTTGCATTACAGAACAAATTCATAACATAAAGTTATTTATGAAACAAAATAAAAGGGTTCATGTTGTTTCACAAAGGTATGTTTTTACCTTAAGCTTAGTTGTCTTTCAACCAAATCTAAGACTTTGAGTAAATAATGCAATTTTAATGTTAGGTATTGGTATTGTAATATATTGTGCAATATTTGAAGTGGAATGTGTAAATGTTTAAACTGTTGCTAATAATATTTTGTTTTTGTAACTTTTATATCTAAAACATTTTTCTATAATGAAGAAACGCTTTACAATATTTTGGTAGCTATAACCCCTAGACTGATTACGATAATGGATGAAATATTTTCAATGTCTATGTATTTTTTACAGTAGCATATATAGATAAAAACTATTTTGTAAAATTGTTTTGAAAATATCAGAGTAACTTTGAAAGGTATCACAAATCTTTACTATAAAGTTTAAATTATTAACAAATTTTATACAAATGTTAATTTTGTACATAAGAAACTTGTGAATATACTTAATATAAAAATTCATTGTGAATATATTTTTATACTTAAAAATATTTTTTTCAAATGTTGTAACATGTGTGTATTTTCCGTGTATAAAGTTTTCTGACACGTAACATAGTGCTATGTCAACAAAAACGTTAACTTATTAAAATTACTTTAGGTTAATTAATTGTGAAACTAAAGAGATGCAGTACCGGTAATCTTCCAGAAATCCAAGGTTCCTACCACCGTCCAGGGAATTCATGTTTCACTCTCATTTCCTTTCAGATGAACCTTTAATATTTGGTTACTTCACGTGTAATGTTAGTGCTATAGTCCCAGAAACACCAACTTAATGACTGGAGAAATAGAGAACTGAAAACATAAAAGAGGTAGAAAATAGAACTAAGCTCTAAATAACTCAACTGTAGTTTTTCGAGCAACCTGCTTTGAGTAAGGTTTGTCTGTATTACAGTATTAAAAGAGTGCCATTTTTTCAAAGAAGATTAATTAATTGTCAATGATTGATGAATAATTCAAACAGAAGCAGAATTGTAATCAATCACTTTGAGTCATAATTTGTATTTCTGTTGGAACTAATTCATAGTTCAAATTAATTCAGGTATCACCAATCACATAAATTCATTGCAGTTTTGATCACAAAACAATATACACGTACAGGTGTAGTTTTAATTTATTTGAGGTGTATTTTTAATTGTGAGTATAACTGTATACTGAAGGTAGATATTTTTATTGAAAAAATAATGCTCTTCATACTATTTGCTTGTATTAATCTCTGATGCTAAGTAGCTACCAACATTGTATAGATCTCAACATGTCTCAACTTAATAAATCAGGGTGTAAATAAGCAAATATTGAGTAGTAAAATACATTTATATTTGTTAATATTTTACAATTTTAACATATTAAAATTAGTGCAAAATTTATAACACAATATTTCTTATTTATAAATATGTTAACATTAACAAAATCAAATTTAACTATTCATGAAGGCTAAGCTTAGGACTGCCTAGTCAATTCTTCCAATTTTTCTCAAAACATAAAATATGGTTAGAATTTTTTTCTTTTTCTATTTATAATTGAATTTTTGTAGAAAAATATTTAAACTGAAAAGTACATTATTTAAGATAGTTGAAAATGTAAGACTATTAAGTATGGTTTCATTTTGTTTTGACAGTACCTAGGTGATGATTCAACCCGTTTTTAAATTATAAGAACAAATTGTCACTATTAACATATTTTTAGACAGTTTTATTTTGTAATTTTCACCCTGAGTTGTTAAGGATTGTTCAAGTTTCCAAGTCATTGGTCAGACTTATTGTGCAATATGAATAACATTGGCACATTACTTTGTTATAATGATCTGTAACTTAAGTAACAAAATATACACCTTTACTATATGAATTTCACCATAAGTAGTTAAAGCTAGTTCTTTGAATCTACTATCTTTTAATTTAAACATTTCCTTCAATGTGATGTGCCAGTGAGTTTTGTAAATAATGTTCCCGAAATGCAACTAACGTACAGGAATGCCTTGCCATTAGAATAGTAAGTACTGTTGTACTCCTTATATATGATGCAGAAAATACATGTTTTGATTAATTTTGCATTTTTATTCTATTTACCAAGTTTATAAGTTTACAGAATCTTCAAGTAGTGAGCACTTAAGATGACCAACACTGTGGGTTTAGTGACAAAGTCTGAGTCCCAAAGATAAGTTTTGGTTGAATCTTTAGTATTACCGTTGACTTTTACATATAGTAAACACATCAAGCTAAGTTACTGAGGGGTAACCATGCTTATCCAACAATCGGGTTGATTGTGAGTAATGTCTGTAGCTGTTTGATGGTTCAAAACTAGACTCAGCTCTCCTAGACTATTGGCTCCAATAGTTGATCCTGACTAAAAAGTAGTTGGTTTTAGTTGATAACGAGATTAAAAATATGATTTTACACTTACAACTCATATTAACAGATGCCTACTGAAGGTATGTTCTGAATCAATAATTATTTTAAGTTTAAGTAGATATCATAAGTAAAACTATTAAAGACGATAGCCTATCCCTTAAAATTTGATTAGCCGACTATTAATGTTTTACAGTAACCCTAAAGCAATTGTTTTCCTATCCTGTTCTGTCAATGGTTGCCTTCGATTTTTTATTGTGACAAATAACCTTCAGCTTAATGTGACCTTTGAAACCTTTACAAAAGGATCTCAGCTATTCATATTGTCAAAAAGTCTTTCATTTGTCCCAACAAATGTTAACGTGGATAAACAATTAAGTAATAGTGGGTGTTGTTTGGAATAAAAATATTGCAACACATCAGCTTCATTGGTACTAAATGTTTGAGCTGCGATCTTTACAGTCATTTTCCTATTCATATCAAATACATGCTTGTCACTCAATGTATTACATACTTGTAACCCTTAATTTTTGTGCAACTCGTTGAGATTTTAGAAATGTTTTAATGAAATGGGCCCAACACTATTACTCTCATATCCGCTAGAGAATTGTGGCAAAGCTTAAGCACACGAGGAGGGTCCGTAATTACACAAATATCATGTTCGATACCATCAACCTTAAAACAAGGCTTATTTGGGAAATGGCAGCCAAAATGTTTCATTGCAAAACATTTGTGCTAGCTCCATCAAATGTTACTGATTGAACATTAACAACATTAAGGTACCTAAGGCTTTTTTAGAATTTTTAAAAGAAATTTGAATTAGAGTAATCATTTACAACAAAGGCAATTTTAAAACCATCCAATTACATAATTAACATCCAGAGACTACAGCTTCCACCTACGAGAATAACAAATCTAACACAAACCTCCATTGACTGGATATGTACAAATATGGACACAAACCAACTCACTCCAGAAATCATCAATGCAGGACTTTCGGATCATACTGCTCAACTCTGCACTGTAAACTTCAACTCACACATCAACTCAAGTTATCCAGCCCAAATTGGACGCTGCCTAAAAAATAAAAACCTGCAAGACCTCAAGTATCTTCTCAGTCAAGAAAACTGGCTTCGTGTTACCTCAATAAACAATGCCGAAGAAGCTTTTAAAACTTTTAGTAACATAGTGAGAGTAGCTATGGATGCAGCCTGCCCCCAAAAGAAGATAAAAACACAAAGAAAACATAAACTAAAATTCTCTATGGACCCAGAAGCAGTGAGACTTAAAGCCGAATTTCTTAAAGCTCTAAGAAAGTTTGAGGTGACGGGAAATCCAGATGACAGAAGGGTTTCTATTGAAAATAAAAAGAACTATGACCTGTACTTGAAAACGATGCGGAAAAAGGTTAACTCTGACCAGTTGATGAAAGCTGAAAATAAATCTAAAGCTATCTGGGAAACAATAAACACAGTGTGGTCCAAAAAGGAAACATCCCTAAATGAAATAACCCTTCAAGTAGATGGCCAACTCATAAGTAATGTGACCCATGTTGCAGAGCATTTGAATACATTTTTTACACAAGTAGGAGAAAAAGCAGTAGAGAAACAAAAACACCTAAAGAACACAGCTCAATCTCCTGACGTAACTCAAACAGGTCCACCGTTTTCCTCCTTTCAAAGCACAGACGAGAAGGAAGTTAAAATGATTATAAACAAACTTAAAGCAAAAAACTCGTCTGGAATTGATGAAATCTCGTCAAAAATACTTAAGCATTGCTGCAATGAACTAGCACTACCATTGGCTGATTTGATAAATAAGTCCCTAAAACAAGGCATCTTTCCTTCACTACTTAAAATAACTAAAGTATACCCGAAATTTAAAAAAGGTAGCACATTAGAAGCAAGCAACTACAGACCAATTTCCCTCGTTTCCACCTTCTCCAAAATATACGAAAAAGTTGTTTTAAAAAGACTTTTAGACCACTGCACAAATCACAACCTACTAAACAACCTGCAACATGGATTTACAAAAGGGAAATCCACAACAACAGCAATAATTCAGATGGTTGAGTCCCTGATTGACAGCCTAGATGAAGGAAATCTAACAACAGGAATCTTTCTTGATTTCAGTAAGGCATTTGACTGCCTTGACCACCAGCTAATCATTAAAAAGCTGGATTCCCTGGGGGTATCAGGGATAGTAATAGAATGGTTTCAAAGCTACCTTACAGACAGGAGTCAGTTTGTAGAACTAAGGCACAGAGATAACAGCCTAATAAGAAAAACAAGATCAAATTTTCAACTAATAAATCGAGGAGTTCCCCAAGGGTCAGTTATGGGTCCGGTACTGTTTATTCTTTTAACCAACGATTTGCCGCAACAAATAGGAGACGCCTGCCTTACTCTTATGTATGCTGATGACACAACCTTAGTGTTTAATGAACCACTAGCTGAAAATCTAGAAGTAAAATCCTATGTGTCACTCAGTATGGCCTACCAATACTGCTATAACAATGATCTCGCAGTAAACACGTCTAAAACAACTCAAATAGCTTTTGGCCGTAAATCTCAAGAAGTGCCTCGACTCCCAGATGTAGAAGTGGAAGATGAAGCTAAGTTATTGGGCATCACACTCGACAAGAATTTAACCTGGACCCCTCATGTGGACAATATATGTAAAAAATTAAGTTCAACCATCTATGCTCTTAAACATATAAAAAATGCAACAGATGACATGACAACAAAAGTAGCATACTTTGCACTTTTCGAGTAGCATATGAGATATGGACTTGTAGCATGGGGTGGAACCTCTGCCACTTAACATGCAAAGAGTTCTCAGAAAACAAAAAAAGGCAGTCAGAATAACTGCAGGACTCCACAGACTAGACAGCTGCAGGGACGCATTCAGGTCACTCAAAGTACTTACCCTTGTAGCACTCTACATCCAGGAAGTTGTGTTATTTGCAGTAAGAAATAACCCTACAAGGCGTGGCGAAATGCACCAACACAACCTGAGAAACACCATGCAGTACAACCTTCCACAACATCGCACGGCACAGTTTGAAAAGAAACCTTCATACGCAGGAATGAAAATCTACAACAGGCTACCTCCAGATCTAAGAAGCAGGTCAGAAGATGACCTCAAACCAGCTTTGCATCAATGGCTCATTAATCGACCTTTCTATTCCTTAGAAGAATACCATCAACAGGTCTTTGAGTAAACAACACCTCAACCACACATTTAGAAAAAATTGTAAATTGACGCTACTACTATTCTTAATGAATGTGTAAATAAAGATTAATTGTCTATTGTCTATTGTCTATAATGTATCATTAAACTAACCACACTAAAAACCTGTCATTGTTTGTATGTAGCCCTTCCAGCGCCCACACCTACTCTCCTGCAGCGCACATGCTCGAAAATCAGACTACAGCACTAATGGACAGAGCGTGATCCAGTTGTTATTATGTCAATGGTAAAAATCTTCAGAGAAAACTGTTTTTATTCTTCCCAAATATCGAGTTTTTTCCCAAATCTCGAGGTTCTTCATTGGACTTCATTGGAAATTCTTTTAACCCTGAAAAAAATAATTATGTAAATACAAACCATCCAAGCAACCAAAAACTGGACAATGTGTTGCCAGGCGGGATTTTACGGGAAATTTTACTACCAACCTAAACCGAACCTACGCCAAATTAAAGTATAGGACCAGCACAAAATGCTGCTACTATTTTGACATGGCTAACGCTGATTGTATTTGGTTAATTTGGCTAAATAAATGACTTATGACTTATGGCTGACATAGTTTAGTTGATCCCCGATAAATGCGGAGGTCACAGTAGACCAACTTGTAACTCTCACAGTGACTCCGACTGGAGTCGTACGCACGCTGTGCCAGTACGGCATGACTCTGTTTGGAGTCGTCAGTGGCGAACGTGTTAAAAAGTATATTTTATGGAGGACTTTAGCCCCTTGACTAAAATATTTTTGGGTAAGTCTATTTTTTTAGGTTAGAGCTGGTTAAACTTTATCTATTAACAAATTCTTATGGATATGGTTGTAGCCGTGTAATATCTGAGATCAACTAACCTTGCCCAACCCATATGAGTTGTAGGTCTTCCTCTAGGACAGAGTCTGTGCCACTTATCACTTCACTCAGCCGCTGAGAGAGACGGAAGTATTCTTCTCTCTCCGTCTCCGTCATGGTTTCAGGCTGGCAAACCTCAAGGCGACGACAAGCATCCACCATTGCTGCCAACACTACCACTTTAGCGTGGTGAGACAGAGTAGGAGCTCGATCTATCTGTGGTATGTTACCGATTAGGACATATTACAATGATACAATTACTTAGTTTACCAAGCAGAGCAGATACTAAGTTATTAATGGGAAATTGAGCAAGGATTGTATTCCAATTGAGAGCTTCTTGAGCAGAAAATTATTTGAGGAGGAGGAAACAGCCTTCTATAAATTGTTTGGATAGCTATTGAATGAGATTAGAAATGAAATATTTTCAACCAACAAAAGCAGATTTTTAGATCGCAGTGCCCAAGAGTTCATTCCCCCAACATGGTGGCCCTCATTGATGCAGTGGCGGATTTACCATAAGGCAAACTAGGCACGTGCCTAGGGGCACCAGCCGTTGAGGGGTGCCCGCCGTTGAAGGGCGCCTGGCCGCGGCAGGCAGCGGATAACGTGACGGGTGGCGCGACTACGGGCGGCGGGCGCCAGGTGATTATCGATCGGTGAAGATGACTCACGTTCATGTCCCGACGTGCAGATACAGACATAATATAGACTGCGAGTAGCAGTAGCGAGCACTATACTAGCGTCTAGATACTCAGAGCAACGAGTCGGCTCACCGGAGCAACAGTCGTGGTGGGGAGCTGGGAGGAACGATGACGTCATATTACTTAATTCAAACCTTCACAGTGGGTAGCGCCAAAGTAGCGGGAAAGATGACATCATCTCATCACTTACTTCCAGCTTTACGCTTTACTGATTTCTCTATCAGTCTAAAATAATTTATTGGTATCTTCTATGATTTACATTTATGGATTAAAACTTTATTTTCTGAAGTAGGTATGAGCTCATCATGGTCATTCTTCAACCTAATAACTTCAATTACTAAAAATATGTTAATCGTAAGATAAATCTGAGAATTTAGACACTAGTAATTATTCAAAAATAGGCTACCAATAAGTTATTTTACAGCTATAGATCGATAGATAGATTTACAACAACATATAATATGTTGTTATTTATAGAATTACGATACAATATTATAAGATGACATAAACATTCTTCAAACAACTTTAATCCTTTCAGTTTAACGTTTATTCCAACCAATCGCTAAAAATCTATTTGCCATTTTCATTTGGTGTACCCATCGATATATAACAAACATTGTGTTTATATATCGATGGGTGTACCACATTCGGAATTCGGACTCGCTACAGGGCTAGCAGACAGCTAACCGCTAAGAGCGCTACCCATGGTGAAGGTTTGAATTAAGTAATGATGTCATCGTTTCAATGACGTCAATTCAAATATATATATGTATTAATAATTTCATAGAAATTATAAGAAAAACCAAAACAAAACCAATTTAAGCTGAATACATTTGAATTGAATTTAGTCAAGAACGGCAATGCGTTCGGTGATTAATTTAGGCTATTCATATTCATATTTATTCTTGTCTCAACAACAAAATATAAAATGTTTTTCTTAAAACCTATTAATACAACTTTAATATAAAGTAGGCCCTACTCATATAGTGACTATGTTTTTCCTGGAAAATGCATTAATAAGCATGCCAACAACCGGAAGTTTAATATTGCTTTTACGCTGAAACCTTTCCTCAATCGCGGAACACAAAGGGGCGGCCGGCCGAACGGGCCTAGGGGCGGCACCGTAGGTAATTCCGCCACTGCATTGATGATGGCCGTTATGTTGGTGATATTATAAGGACAAGTCTTCCAACACTATAATAATATATATATTTATATTAAATAAATAAATATAGGATGGAGAGGACACAGCTAACTCACCTGATGAAAGGTTGCAGACGAGTCAAAGAACACATAAAATCACACACATAATATACTTAATATTTCGCCTCTTTCAGAGGCTTCTTCAGAAGTAGGCCTAGATGGTAGTTACAAAACAACAGTTTAAATAGGATGACACAGTTTGAATTCAAAATGTCTGACAGGTTGTCCAACTGACACTGCACAAAGCACTAAATACAGGCACATTGCAATATTGTATTTACATATAATATGTATATTGAAAAGCAAATTAGATTTGTCCATGAAAATAAATACTTAAGAGTTAGCTGTGAGGGTGAGGATATGAGGATATTATCTAATGTTGAGGTTAGGTGGGGTTCTGGAGTTGGTCACAAACTGGTAAGCTAATTCCCATCTTCTGAGCATTGAACTATTGCATTGGTTCTTTGGCAATGATTATAGAGCTTTTATGGTGAAACAGTCATCAAATAGAAGTTGGTGGGATAAGGCATGTTGTGCAACTGGTTTTTCTTTGCTAGTTTTGACATCATGTCGATGGCCGTTCATGCGTTTTCGGAGAGTCTCGGTTGTTAGGCCTATGTACTGGGCTGGACAATGTGAACATTAAAGCTGGTAGATAAGGTTCTCTGAGCTGCAGGTATGATGGCCTTGGATTCTGTAATTTTTATTATGGTGTGTGCTGGTAAAAGTTTCTGTAGGATGGTGTATCTGGCAAGATTTAAATCGGTTTTCATTGCATGGGTATGAGCCCGGTCTTGGTTTCTCAGATGGTATTTTTGATGGATTTGGGAGTTTTGGGTGGACTAGCATATTCCTCAAATTTGGGGGTTGCCTATAGATTATGGAAGGGGCTCTTGAAAGTAGGTTTTTGGTTTGGCTTGAGGACTCTAGGATTTTGAAACCTGTTTTAAGGAGGTTGTTTAGTTGTTGCAGGCCAGGGTGGTAAGTGGTTATCAAATTTACTTGAAGATGGTTGGTATTTTTCTTTGTAGTTGGACGTGGGTTCTGAGCCGCTTGGATCTGAGATTTTACGATAGTGCTAGGATAGCCTCGGTTTTCGAAGGCTTTTTGAAGTTGGGTTTGGTATTGTGTACGGTCTTTCGGTTCTGAAATTAGGCGATTTCCCCTTAGGGCAAGACTGTAAGGAAGTGATCTTTTGGTGTTATTCGGATGACAACTAGAAAAATGGAGGTATTGTTGGTGGTTGGTCGGTTTTATGTGGATAGATGTGGTGAGGTTATTGTTCCTTAGATGAATTGTAAGGTCTAAAAAGTTTATGGAAGTCTCAGAGAAATCCCAGGTGAAATTTAGCGGTCCAAAACTGTTGAGGTCTTCCAGGAACTTCCGTAGTGATTCTCACCGTGGGTCCAAATTATGAAAATGTCGTCAATGTATCTAAACCAGCAGATGGGGAGGTGTTCACGGCTAGACAAAAACTTTTCTTCATAATTCCCCATGTAGAGATTAGCATAAGATGGGGCCATTCTTGTACCCATGGCAGTGCCCTTGATCTGTAGGAAGTGTTTGTCCTGAAATTGGAAATAGTTCTTTTCCAGAATGAATTTTATCAGTTGAGTTATAAACGAAGTGGTGGGTAGGGATCCTTTGGGTCTGTTTTGAAGGTAGTTTTCTGTTGCTGTTAGGCCGTAGACATGAGGTATGTTTGTGTAGAGTGAGGTGACATCAATAGTGGCCATGAGAGTGTTAGCGGGAAGTGGTTGTCTGACATTGTTAAGTTTTTGTAAAAAATCATTGGAGTCCTTGATATATGAGGCCAAGTTTTGTACTAGCGGTTGTAGATAGGCGTCTACGTATGAAGAGATACGTTCCGTTAAAGAACCTGATATGCCTGATACTATGGGCCTTCCTGGCGGTGGTGTTATGCCTTTGTGGACTTTTGGTAATATGTAGATTTTTGGGCAGATGTGTTCTTCTGGTATTAACAGATTTGTTGTTTCTGGGGAGATATTGTTGGATTTGGAGTGTTTGTAAATTATTTCCTTGAGTTCAGCGGTGTACTTTATAGTTGGATCTTCTTTCAGAGGGAGGTAGGTGGAAGAATCACTGAGCTGGCGTTGGATTTCTGACACATAATCAGATTTATTCATTATCACTGTGGTCGAGCCTTTGTCAGCTGGAAGGATCATGATATCAGTATTTGATTTTAAAGTTGAAATGGCTTTTTTCTCGGCTTCGGTGAGGTTATGGAGTGTTGTAGAGGTTACGTTGTTTTCGAAAGTGGGATCTGAGATGTTTTGTACCAAGAAGTTGATGTATTGTTCTATCGGATGGTCTGCTGGTAACGGTGGGGGATCCGAGGGTGGAGCAAACTTCGCTAGGGAGGGCGCCACACTGTTGGATTTCGAGTTGTTCAATGTTCACATTGTCCAGCCCAGTACATAGGCCTAACAACCGAGACTCTCCGAAAACGCGTGAACGGCCATTGACATGATGTCAAAACTAGCAAAGAAAAACCAGTTGCACAACATGCCTTATCCCACCAACTTCTATTTGATGACTGTTTCACCATAAAAGCTCTAAAATCATTGCCAAAGAACCAATGCAATAGTTCAATGCTCAGAAGATGGGAATTAGCTTACCAGTTTGTGACCAACTCCAGAACCCCACCTAACCTCAACATTAGATAATATCCTCATATCCTCACCCTCACAGCTAACTCTTAAGTATTTATTTTCATGGACAAAACTAATTTGCTTTTCAATATACATATTATATGTAAATACAATATTGCAATGTGCCTGTATTTAGTGCTTTGTGCAGTGTCAGTTGGACAACCTGTCAGACATTTTGAATTCAAACTGTGTCATCCTATTTAAACTGTTGTTTTGTAACTACCATCTAGGCCTACTTCTGAAGAAGCCTCTGAAAGAGGCGAAATATTAAGTATATTATTTGTGTGATTTTATGTGTTCTTTGACTCGTCTGCAACCTTTCATCAGGTGAGTTAGCTGTGTCCTCTCCATCCTATATTTATTTATTTAATCCAAGCTAAATGCTTTTTCCTAAAAACATATATTTATATTAGTGATCTGTCAAAACCATATCTAAAATCTCAAAACCAGTGTATTTTTATTGAATTCCTTACAAGACACAAACAGTACATAACTTATATTGGAGATATTGGCATTCAATAAAGAAATGTATAACTAAATTTAAATGTTCAACAAGACTTTATGTAATATTCACTAGCGCTTTTGGAGACCTAGTTTCCGAAAACGCTAGAAAATAAAACAAATTATTGGCCTTGTTGAACATTTAAATTTAGTTATACATTTCATTACAAACAGTACAGATAGAATTGACATTCACATTATACGATTCTCACAACCTTTTTTAAGCACTTGCTACATGTTTTGTTGAAGTTCCATAAGATGTCAGGGTAGACCAATTTCTCTAATTTGATTGTAAAATAAACGTAATTATTAATTCTAATTTTGTTAACCTTGAACAGACAAATTAAATGTTTAAAATTTTAGGTTTTAAGACTCAGGATTTGATTAAGTTTTGGTTTTGAGATTTTAAATTCCTGGTTTCGACCATCACTAACACTTACAGTAGCCTGTATATTGTTAACTTATTTTATAAAGTTATTTTATTGTATTCAAATTGATTACAGCCAGAGTGTTCTAGGCTACTTTAATACAATACCTAAAAGCGGTTACCAAAACCAGGATTGCCAAAGAGTGTCTAAGGAACATGTTGGCCTTAGTCACTAACAAGACTACAAGTTCGCGCCACTCATCCTACACTCATCCTTCACTCATATTTGGGTTAAAATACGCACATAGTGGCGTCCCCATCTTAAATAATTGATAAGAATTGATAATTGATACTCCATGCTATTTTTTACAATACCTGTTACTCACCTGCAGTTTGATTTGTTCATTGACCGGGAGTGAGTGGTTATAAGTCAATTCCTTGACAAATGACTCAACCTCTTCCCCAAACTGTTCCTTAACCTCTTCAAATGATGTGGTACCTTTCCCCACCACATCTTTAAGCAGTGCTGCACACAAAACGGACGTTTCTTCCACATCTGCATCTTGTGAGACGTGAAATGTTGTGGCTGAAATTTACAATAGTTCAATTTAAACATTATTACAAAGTACTACATCATTAGGGTTACTTCATTAACGTTCAAGATAACCGGAACCGTCCCAGATTTTAGCCACAACAGTCTCCCAAAATATTGTCTCAGGACACTAAAAAATCCCAAAAGTATATAAACAACTTATTGAAGTAATAATTTACTGTCGCCATCTCAATTTGGTTTTAGAAGAAATCATTCAACAACCTTGGCTCTCACTAAATTTATCAACTCAGTTTCGGAGGCTCTGGATGGATCACAGAGTGTTGCGGGGGTTTTCTGTGATCTGTCCAGGGCTTTTGATTGTGTGGACCATCAACTTTTAATCTACAAACTAAAAAACATTGGTATAAGAGAAAAGGTCTTAGGTCTTCTCTCAAACTACTTACTAAATAGAAAACAGCGCACAGTAGTTTACAAACAAAACAAACGGTTTCCGTCTAGATGGGATAGTGTCCATTATGGTGTACCTCAAGGTTCTATTCTGGGACCATTGCTATTTCTGATTTTCATTAATGACCTTGATTCAAATATAAGTGGTAGTTTATTTTTGTATGCTGATGATACTAATGTCGTGGTAAAAAACAATGATTTTCAGCAATTAGAAAAATCAATTAAAACAACTGTGGATGAACTAAAAAAATGGTTTTTCAAAAATGGTCTTTTAATGAATGATTCTAAAACCCACTTAATGCACTTTAAAATTAGAAATGGTGAGAAAAACAAGTTGGAGAATTTATCTTGTGGAGAGCTAAAATCAGTCAATACCCACAAGGTTCTAGGAATACACTTTGATTATAAACTAAAATGGGAAAATCATATTCAATATCTGTCCAAAAAGTTGAATTCGTTTAGGTTTGCACTCAGTGTAATTAGTAATACAACATCAATGGATGTATGTAAAATGGTATACCACGCCTACATCGAATCAATAATTAGGTATGGAATAGTACTTTGGGGATGTCAGCCCCAAACTAAAATCCTTTTTAACGCTCAAAAATCAATAGTGAGGACTATGGCTCGAGTTAAAAGAAGAAAAAGCTGCAGATCTTTATTTAAAGATATTGGTATCTTAACACTTACAAATCTTTACATACCTAGTTGAAATTGTTAAACTAATGTTTAATGATATTACAATTTTTGATGACTGTAAATTCAACCATACCTATCCAACACGACATCAGAACAAATTGAAATTTCCTCGGCATAGGCTTTCATTCTATGAAAACTCTCTAAAATACATGGCAGTAAAAGTTTATAATAAATTGTACAGCATTTTACAAAAAAATAATTCCAAAAACTTAGACCTTACATCTGTACATAAACTTCTCTTACAAAAACCATACTACACTGTAGAAGAGTTTTTTAAGGATACTTTTTAAACTGATACGCTGAATGATAAGGTCTTTTCTAGTTATATGAGATATTTTACTTATGTTAACTTTATTATTTTTAGTTTAGTTTTAGTTTTAGTTTATATTCTGACGACACTCCAATCTTTTGTACCTTGTGCATTATAAGATGTGATGAGTAAATAAAGAATTTGAATTTGAATTTGAATTTATAAAGTGTTGTGGAACCTTAGAAACAATTTATTTACTACCTGGAAACATTAAAGTTGCGAGCAGGGGGCCCATGGGGGGGAGGGGACAAACATAGGTATCCTGGTTTCCCGGAAATAAATTGGACACACAATACATCATACATCAAGTAAAAAAAAAACAAAGAATTGAATAGTTCATTTTTAAGGGACACCATTGACAAAAACTGAAGGAGAGTTCACTTACAAATATACTTATAACTTTTACGGCTGCCAGCAAAGAAATATTTAAAGTAAATACCCACAAACAAGATGATTGATGTACGGAACATTGCTGCTATCATCAAACATGAAATGTTGTCTATGTTTAATGGCAGCAAAATTAGCTGCAGCTAGCAAAGGTTTTAATTCATCATGGTTCGGCCAAGGTGGAGAAAATTTACTTTCACTCTGCTCCCGTTTTGTGATCTGGAAAAATGAAAATATAAATTGATTTTTCAAGCTGCTAAACAATGGAATTGCAAGTTGACCTTCCCCGACTAAATTGAAAAATATTGGCAGGAATTCTAAACATATTGAACACATCCTGCGTTTTGAAATAAAACTTAAAAGACTGTCATAAAAAAGGTTCATTTATAATTTGCCATTAAAAATTGTTACAGGTCTACTTTGTTTGTTTACAGCTCAACAAATTGCAGTATTATTTTTTATTTCTTTCAATGAAATTTGTTTTGAAAATCATAAAATCCCTGGCTGAAGCACTGCTGGAGTAACCCCCAGCTTGATTGCTCCAATGTTTAAGTGGTTTATGTCATTCCTTACCATGACTTGGGTTGATAAAAAGATTATGAATTCAAAGGTTTGTTAGAATAAATTCAAAGCAAACATGCAACACGTAGATTGGTTCAGGTTTTAAAATTTGCAAAATATCTATGTCTAGTGTCAACTATTGAGAAACACAAACAGGTACATATTTGACGTATTTCCAAGTCCTGGCTCCATTACTTACTACTTGAAACTACAATGAAACTATCGGTGTACGCTAGTCATTAACAGTAGTAGGCCTAATCAATTTTGTAATCGAAGCAATATGATTATCATGATACAGCGACAGACACCTAGACAGATAAGATTATTGAGCCACCACAGATTTTTTTAAAAAGTTTGTTCAGTAATGTTTGTGTATACTCTGTACTCATACTTACCAATCCTCTTTTAACAAAAATTACATCCAGTTGTTCTTCCAGCTTGGGACTGATTCCTCTCAAGCCTTCACAGACTTGGAACGCCCACTCAAAGTATTCACTTCTCCTCTGCTCTGACCAACCTTCAGGCAGTTGTCTCTCCAGGTCCCTCAGATTGTACAACTTGTCTGCCATCTTCACCAGCTTCCCTGCAGGGCTTGTTGACCGAGCATGAACTACCTAAGACAAAGATTCAAAAATGGTACATTTACTTTACATGAATCAATTTCATTCTATCTTTATCATCATCTTCTTCTTTATTTCATCAAATGTACAGATTGGTACATGAAATTGTTTCAACATGAGTTTTCTGATCTAGATTGCTAAAACTAGTGATTTTAAAATTAGGACTTTCCACGTTTCGTTATGAATTGAACGAGACCAGATGAGTCATCACTCAGGACACTATCTCAGATACATGCTGTGACAGGTGATGCGCGCTCCAGTCAACAACCTGACCTTGGCCTACTGGGAGGGGATTTGGCAACGAAACGAGGAATTTGTCCTATATTCTGATTACGGTACCCAACCTAACATAACCGCCACAGCGCGTTGTTCTAGGGTGGTCTCCGGATAATACCAAAATACCGAGTAAAACGCTGATTCAATGAAAAATCTTTTTAATGATTTGAAAAACTTGGTTGGATTCTTCTCTAATTTTAAAGTTTATGGAAGGTGGTATATAAATTTGTTTCCTAAATAACTAGTTTTTTTTCTCTTATAAAATTCCAAATCTTGCTGCACTACCAATTAGCGTGATCTTGTGTTATATACATGAACATTGTTACCTATTGCAATTTTATCGTTCATCAAAACAAATTTAATTGACTCATAAATGAAAAGACTGTAGACTGTACATATTTTAAGTAGGCCAATACAAAAGACTTTCATTACCAAACACCTTCCTTTTAGAATTAATTGTCTGGATACTACAATAACCTTGGACAAAATATAATAGGCAAGGCCATTGAGAAAATATGTTTTCTTAGGCTAGGCTTATAGTTTATATTTCCTAAAATATCATTTATATTTGCCGTTTTCTAGGCCTACATAAAAGAAGAAAACATACCAGTAGTATCTTGAGATTCAACAAACCTGTAGATCTTTGCGCTTCTGTTTGGGCAGAGATTTATCATCTGTGACTTCGTCAACGAGGTTTCCTATAAAGTCTCCTAACTTAGCTCTGATGACCTCGCTTGTGAGTTCAGTGTCTTCCACAGTGTCATGTAGTAAACAGCCTTGTAGCAAATCAACATTGGACAACCCTGCCTCTTCAGCTAATATATAAGCCACACCTGTCACAGATAAAACTACTAGGTTACTAAAATTACCTAGTAGCACCCATGAATGATACTATTTGCTGGTCCACAAAAGCACTGGACTACTGTCCAATACGGTAGCCTATCAATGATCACAAACACACTTTTAGTCTCTTTAGCAACCAGATACCGTCGAATTGTTTACTCTTCGGTAACCGAACTGTGTGGAAGTGTAAACATTCCATTACAAAAACGTAAAACTCAATAAATAGGCTACAAACTATCCTTAACTAAGTGTTATAAGGATGTTAAAATTTAGTACTTAAGGATAAATATTTGTTTGGCCTAGCCTATTACAAAAAAGGTGCCAGTTTTCTTCAGTTTTCGAAAGGAGTCTAAAGAGGTTTGTGACAGTGAACTGCGAGGTTCATTAACTTACAAATCAAAATTATATAAAGAAGATATAACTTAAGCTCTTCCTGGTCTACCTATTGGGTGATTGATGTAAGGTGTCTTCTCTAAATCCTTCCTCTTCTGCTCCTTATGAGCTTCAGTTGCAAAATTTAAACACCAAATAAACTCTTTCTGAGGAGTATTACGAACAGCATCCCGGACATAGTATTTAAGAGTGAATTTTTCATGGGCATTTTCTTCAGATTGGGTCATTGTGTTGTCTCCTCTAATCCATTTATGAGAATAAACCTTGAGGATGATCTGAAAAAATATGACAACGTAAATCATTATAAGTCTAGACCTAACTTATTTATACTTAAGGTAGGCCTAAATTGAACAATTACTTAGGCCTACAGTCATTCTAAAAGCTCACCAAATCATTAACTGTCGAGCAATAGATCATAGCTTTAATCTTAGTGAAAATCTGAATACGTTGTATAAGGCGATGAAAGCGATAAGACTTTTATAACCTAAAAGTTTCGTCTATTTAATAATTAGTTAATTATTAATTACTAATAGTTATCGTACATTTAATAATTATTATTATTACAATGAAACCACGAAAAATATTATTACTTACTGAAGAACCCCCTTCAAAATTCAAAGACTACTGGTTTAGTTTTTTACCTGTGTGGTGTAATAATTGTGTAGTGTAAATAAATAAATAATAAAAACAAAAATATAAACATAAACAACAACAAACAACAATCGACAATTTTGAATGTTTGATGTTTGTTGGGTTTTCTGCTTGGTTTTTTTGTCATCTCAGTAAGTTGTAGATTTTAACCATGAAGCGTCAGAGTTAACTTATTATGTCTATTTATATTTAGGAAGAATGTTAAAAAGATTAAAGAATGTTGTGGTATATGAGACTGTTCATCTAATTAGAAGTGAAAATGGCTATAGACTATCTAAAATGATATTTACTTAAAATCAGGCCTTGAATTAGTGTAGAGGTGGCTGTGGTACGATCCACTTGCAAACATTGCTCATATTCTTTCAAGATGATGAAAGAATAAGCGGTATTTAGTAAGTAGCAAGTCCCATCAATTTCCTATTTCCATTATGTTTAATGTATTCTTCCCTCAGCCGCAAACACCCAAGAGATTTGCTGTTGCTTTATGAATGTAAACACGGCCATCTTTAACTACAGGCCGTGGCCTGGTAGAATTGGCAACGTCGCAAGTGGTGTTGTTTAGTGACAGACATCCCATAAGATAACATGGCAGGAAGGTGACATTAAGCTTATTAATTCGCACTTTATTGATTTAAATTTAAATTTATGAACATCAATTTATTAAAATATTGAAAATAAAACATACAGAATTGAAAACCGAAACAATATTAATTAAAAATCTATAATTGTACATTTTAAGCGAAGTCAATATTGTCATAGTCCAGTAAACAATAGTTCGTAAATACACAAATACCATTAGCTGCTTTCAAACAAAACAGCTGTTACAACACCACTTGCGACGTTGCCACTTCGAAGGCCGCGGCTTGGAGTTAAAGGCGGCCGTGATGTAAGTCTGTAGCATCTGTAGCGTGATGACTCCCACTCCCTTTTTTTCTAATTTAACACAAAGACTGCGAAACATGAATGATGCAAGGTACACTGAGCTAAAATAATTGGAGGTAGCACTGCCATGGCAGAAGTCTGTCAAAAGCGTGTCGCTGATTTTGTTAGGTTGGTATAGCAGTGAGTTTTCTTATCATAGCAATAACATGGCTTCTTATAACTAGGTTGGTATAGCAGTGAGTTTTCTTATTCAATAACATGGCTTCTTATAACTCCCGCCCCACACAAACATGGCGGCTGGCGACACGCATCTTTGACATTCAGTGCTACCTCCAGTTCAGTGGCAAGGTACAGGTACGCCAAAATCAAGGCGTTTGCGCCGAAATACCATTCACTATACCACGAAAACTAAATATATTTATGGTACAATGGAAATATACAATAAAAGTTCTACACTTTATTCTCATATTTTTTAAGGAATTGTTCTTACATTGGTAATGAGTGAATTTGGTTTATTAGTTTTTGCTATTAGTATGAAAATTAAAAGTACAAGCAACATTTACAAATAAATCGTTCTAAAGGTTTTGTTTTATAATAAAGAGAGTGAAATATTATGTAGTAAACCAGTAAACATGAACACACTCTATACCGGTTCATGTTATGGTCAGAAACTTATCATAGGTACCTACTGGATATTGTTTCCAGCAAACTCGAATGGTAAACTCATAAGGGAACGTGTAATCTATGAGGTATTTTAGCGACGCTGACATCCCAGGATGGCCGTATTTAAAGTGAAGCGAAGGTGAACAAACGATGAGTATTGATTGAATAATGTTGAATGAAGGAGATGACAGCTTTGTCACTGACTGACTCAGTCAGTAACAAAGCTGTCATCTCCTTCATTCAACATGATTCAACACTCATCGTTTGTTCACCAGACTGACTAATTAATAGTGTCGGTTACTGGTTACTGTACTATGCTAATATTAACTGGTCCTTTAGCCAGAATCATATTTTTATTAAATGCACAATAATCAAAGGTCCGTGAAGTTGGCGTACCCATATTAAGGCAGATAAATCCCTAACCGACAACCTTAATATTTCTGCGTGAGCTACGTATGCCTAACGTCGTAGATTAAGTAAAAGTGTTACAACAGTACAAAACTAAGTGGATTCGTTATAGGGAATTGTTTTATATTCTATCAATTTCACGAATATCTTAACGTTAACATATACATTGTGTGGTACGCTTTGAATTAGAAGGAGTATACACTTGGCAGTTGTATAATCAAAGGGAATGTATACTTCTTTGAGATTTTTTTAAGCTCAGAGGTTGGAGTCGTATCGTATTTACATCATTTCCTTCTGCTACACTCACACCACTCACACACTCACACTCCCCTCCCTCCATCTCTATGACATCATTGTCATCTTCCAATTTTCCATTCAATGCATTTTCCATCATTGTTGTAGGTTAGATTATCAAAATGAGAAACTAAAGTTTGAAAATCAGTAATATTAGTTTTATTTATATCTTTTAATCTTCTAAAGATCTAAATCATGGTAAGCTTGACTCCAACTGTTTATTTAGACATATGAAATACACAATTTCCTGTTTTTTACATTCATTATCAAATACAATAATTTGAGGTTAAATCTGTTTCAGCATCATCAAATAATGTTTAAACCTTGGTGGCTTAGGCATAATGTTTCTAGTCTACTGCTGAAAACGACTTGCCGGCCCTTGACTAGCTGTTTACCTACTTCTCATAATAAAGTAAGAACAATAAAATGTTTTTAGGAACTTGGATTTAGCCTATGCTTTATTAATTACTAACTTAACTGGTAGGCCTAACTTAGAACTTTGATCTTAAGACTCCATCAACAATCGATATAGAAAGTTTGGATTTTAGTTAGGCCCTAGTATAATAATAACTTAGGCCTATTATTGAATGTAACAATCTATATAGCAAGTTAGAATTTTAGTTAGGCCCTAGTTTAAGTGTAGTTATCGATTTAATTGATCCTTTTTGTTGTTTAGTGATATATTTGGATAGCCTTTCGAAGTTCCGTCAAACTGTTATTTCCTACTCCATCGTAATTACCGTAGCCTACACTTAACTTATTGGATTTAAAATTATCTTTGTTTTCAATCGTAATCTCTGACTACTAATTTTGAGTAAGTAGGGTAAATTAATTATTATAAATTAAGGACTGTTACCTACTTATTTTAAACATTTCACTCATAGGCCTAACTTAGGCCATTCTGAAATTAAGTGGAATTTCCGCCCAAGATTTTTTGTTAACTTTTTTATAAAAGAATATTTATATTTTGTTATTTTTTAAAGTCTAATAACTTAACAAACTACTTAAATACATATACACCATTTTTAGAGGTCAAGAAAGAAAATAATAAAATTTAAGCTGTAGGCCTATTATATAAGTTATATGTAGTAATTATCCATGGGAGTTACCACCATGGAGGTTACATTTTTCTGTTTATTCAACTGTAAAAGTTGTAAATACTAATCTATAGGTTCATATCTCCAGAGCTAAATGTTATCTGAAAGATAAAAAAGTTAACAAACGCGATAAAGATAAAGATAACAAACGCGAAGAGAACGGTCAGAAACAATTGCTCGATAATTTGAGGTCAGATGCTGATGTCAACCGAGTCTTCTCAAGGGCAGTAGGCCTAATTATGTGGTTTAAATAACCAATCTAATTTTAGTACATTATTTAATATCAACCGGAATAATATAGGATTTTTCATGCGGGAGATAAAACAGGATTTGCTTGGTAGGGTGAGCGGGATTTTTGTTTTATTCTTGTGGAAAGATTGAGTTATTTTTATTCTTCTCCAACATTTAATTTGGAATAGCTCGATGTGCTGTGTTTTTAATTTTGTTTTAAAAGTATATTAATTTGTAAATTACACAAATACTAGTATTGTATACATACAAAAAGTTGTTTGAATACTAACACACAAACAAACTTGTCTTTTAAACGTACTAAAACTTATTTTTGCGTTGAATTTTTTAGGAGCGAGCCAACGATGATTTTTTTTAATTTTCCAATGAAAACCATGAATTCCGCATGAATTTTTTCTGCCCGCCATGGTGGCATCCCTGAAGTTAAAATTTTAGCATATGACATACCGGTACATTATTTGTTGCTCACATGGATTTTACAAGTATAAAAGGTTACCTTGCTAGAAAGAAATTCCAGTTTATTATGGCAGTTTATGAATGGCCCTCAATCCCTCAATACAATAATTAAATGTAAGCTAGGCCTGTACCTGTACATATGTGTGACGAAAAACTAAATTCTCAAAAATGCATAACTGTACTGTTGTTTGAGTAGAATAAACATTAAAAAATAAAGATAAAACATTATTTGATCTAGGGATTTTTTTCTTTGTAATTTCACTGGTATACACCGAAAGCATATGTTTTACCGCTATGGACACCCGTGCGTCACACTTACGTAACGGTCGGTAGTGAACGTCTTAAACCATCCAACATTTAGATTAGGCCTAACCACTTATAGATTAAAGTGAAGGATGCAAGAAATTTCAATTATTGAAGACATAGATACTTCTGTAAGCTTATCCAATGTAAACACACCTACATTAACTTGTATTAATTGGCCTAAAATGATTGTGCTATTTATTTTCATTTCACATTTAGGTTTCTCTAAATTATCTTCAGTGCCAAAGATGCTACTCAACACCCCGACGTCCAAATTTTCTTTCACAATTTGTGGAAAACATAAAACAAGAAATGGCAAAAAACAAAGAGATGAAGGAGAACTTAAAAAAGTTCAGAGAAGAAGCTCAAAGACTCGAACATTCCGAGGCTTTACAAAAAGCTAGGTGAGTTTTACTAAGCTGATAAAGTTCAGAAATATAATAAATGTTGTTCATTAATATAGGTAGGCCTTAATTAATTGCTAAAAAATCTTTAAACTTACTTTGATGCTTAAAGTAAAATAAGTAAGACAAAAAGATTTGTTTAATACACTAGGCCTATTGAATTTTATATCCCAATTTAATGTAAATAAATATTATTTGGACGCTCATTGATCAGTGCAATAAATGGAAAAAATTATCCGTGGGTATATTGAATTTAT